AGACACAGGGTGAAGGCAGGCATCTACAAGCCTGATACAGATCCTTCTCTCATAGCCCTCAGAAGGAACCAACCTTGCTCACATCTTGATCACAGCCTTCTAGACTCCAAACCGTGAAAAAATAAATTTCTGTTCTTTAAGCTCCCCAAGCTGGAGTACTTGTTACAGCAGCCCTGGCAAACTAAGACATGGTATACTGAACCAAACTCTCCTTTAACAAAAAGGTATATATTAAGATTTGCCCACTACTCAGTCAATAATAGTCAATGTTTTACAGCTGTTCTAGGAACCTAATCATCCATTCTAAGATAATAAATCAACTTAAAGCATCTTATACACTGCCCTGGCCATTGCACCAACAACTAAAAGGAGTTCTACACCATACATCCTGGGGGGAAGAAGAAGACTAATTATTAAACAATGCAGTTACTCTTTTGGAGAAAAAGAAGAGATATAACAGGTTGTACAGTTTTAGAAACGAATATTGAATCCAAAATGTAGTGAATTCTCAGGAAGGCCTCAATTCTTCCTTTTCCAACCCTAGTCTTTGGCAGGCAGTCAGTAGCAGAGTCAACAGTAATAAGTGAAGTTGGTTGGTACTTCATCATTTTGTTGGAAACTGGGGGATGCAAGTCTAAAAAGCCCAAGTTCAATGCCAAAGTAGCTAATTTTGTCTGTAGCAGAATTCACAGCAGGGTTCCGAGCTAGAAGTGAGGTGGCAGGGCAGCAGCCCAACACACTGATGTGCTGCACTGTCTTCTGAAGATAGCCCCGGACGTAAACAACACAGTCTCTTCAAGATCGGCTGGTAACGTTTCTATTCACTGGTGTAACTGTGATTATGCTAATGCTTTGCGTTAAGGATTTTACTGGGTATAGGGGTAGATTCATTTCATGACAGTTCACCTTTCACCTGGGGCTGTAATCACAGGAACTGACCCTGCCTTCAAACCTAGAAGTCTATGGATCTTATTTATATTCATTTGGTTTCTTCAAATACGACAAGCAAGGAGGATTCTACTGTGATAAAAACAGGATTTTGATACTTTGAAATGGTTTTTAAAATTGAAAAGTAAACATTCAGAAACATGAAGATGATTTGGGCTTATATTATATTCTAAATATGGGTTAACACCACTGAGGTATATAAACACACTGATTGTAATTGTAAATTACCATGTTGTGCAGGAAAACAGACATATGGCAGGTGTCTTCACTCACTAAGCTATACTACAGCTCTTTAACATTAATGGGCATCTGATTTAAAGGAAAAAACTAATTTTTAGCAATGTGTCTCTGATATATCCCAATACTCCTCCGTTTAGAGAACTGCCTTTCTTTTTAAAGAAACTACAGATCTGACTAAAAATGAAAAGGCCAAATTTAATATTTTGAAATAAAATTGCCTTATAATTAAAAATTACCATTTTATAGATAAAAAAAGACTGGAAGAATGAATACTTTTAGGAACTCTAGATTTCCTAGCACCTTCCTTTAGAAATGTTTCTTAAATATTTTTATTGTATAATACATATAGCAGAACAATTTTATAAAATCACCAACGATAGTTACTTATGTATATATTTCTATATGTAACACACCTTTTCCTTAAAAAATAAAAAGTATCATAAAGCTTAATAAACTGTTTTGCCTCACTCAACAATCTATTCTGAATTTTGTGAAAACTGTAACTCTATAATACAATTTTAACCATATATGGTGGTCCTTTTGATTTACTTAGCCTTTGTTGAACATTTAGGGTGTTTCTAACTTTTTGTTGTTAAAAAAAAATGCTTTAATGACCACCCTCATCACTAAATTTTTGCACACACATACAATTTTTTCTTATAAAAATTCATTAAAGTTGAAATGATTGTCCAAAGAAAAATCACATTTTAAAACTTCCCATATGAATTATCCAATAGCCTTTCATGAAGGTTGCCTCAATTCACACTCCCACAAAATGGAATAGTCAAATAATTGTTTGTTAGTTTTGTCTGTAACCACCACCATACTGTTTATTGTAGTTTCATAATATTTGGTAGGACAAGGACACCCTGACTCTCTTCTTCAAAATTTTATTTTCCTAAGTTTTATTCTTTCCATTTACAACCACCTTGTCAAGAAATACTCTCATATTCCACTAGGATTTTATTGGAGGGCATTGTAGTTTTCACTTTCAAAACACTGTTTTACATAGATAATACAATTTTGTACCCTAAAAAAAATAGATTCTGCCAAGGAAACGAATACTGTTTAGTAAGCAAGACGATTTCTAGAAGAAAGCTATAAACAGAAGTGGCTACAATGAAAAATAAATCTCCTGATGTAGTTTTAGTATAATAGGCAAAGATGTATAGTATGTATACTTGAAAAATATGAAATTATAGAAAACATTTAGATGATATTTCAAGAACAATGTTTTGGAATAAGGGAGCATATCTTAACACTTCAAGTTTTCTTAGACAACAGATAGCAAAGATTCTAGGAACAAGAGAAATTGTTCTTTATGATAGGAAACAATAGATAGGAAAGATTCTAGGAACAAGAGAAATTGTTCTTTATGATAGGAAACTCATTAAAGTGTCAAAGACTGATTAAAGTATAAGAACAATAAAGGCAATAATTAATAGAGTATTTGGCTGAATTTGAAAGACTTATGTAAGAAGTGGTTCAGGTCCTCTATTCTACCCTGAGCTAGAGATATCCAGAATATACAGATTCAAAGAAAACCAGGAATTACCTGTTAGACTGGTATTGGGTCAAGGGAAAACTCTTGAGAGTAAGGTGGCCAAAGGGAATGTATTTCTAAAATTCTGAAACCGTAGATCTACAAAGAGCTACGTCTCCTTTGAGAATGTGATAAAAGCTATCATCACCATCTTTAAAGATGCACACATGTACAAACACACTATTCTGCCTGTACTGTAAAGGGGTTCGACGTCTTCAGGTTAAGAATACTTGCCTTGTCTAAAGAAAACACGAGATAAAGGAAACATTTGATAAAAGAAATATTTCGGAATGACGGTGAAGATCTTATTGAGTGGCTGGAATTCGTGTTTTTAATTGACATTAGGGGAAATCTGGTAAATACGGAGACTCTGGACTACTGTTTGACTTTTGCCTCTGCCAACCATTCCACTGAAAATGTTTTCACTCTAGTATCACTGACACCTTTGCTAGCGACATGGTATATCTGACTTGATTTTATGTTACTTTCATCTCTGTATATTTGATACTGTTCAGCACTGACACCACATTGTTGGTTTTCTCCCAATTCTAGGGGCAATTCAATTCTCAGTTTTGGGGGGGTTTATTATTAAGGTTTCTACCCATAATCTTAAATCTTTGAAAAACCTGAAATCCTTTAAAGATCAAAGTTTCCCTAAGGTCCAGCCTTTTCTCTTTACATAGTCAAGTCAAGAGGACCAGTGATGGAAAAATCGCATTTTAAGTTATGTGAAGGCTGATCAATGACACAACGTGGTGCTTGCCTAACCAGAGGTGCAGCAGCTGTGTGCAAGATGCAGCTGTGCAGGTGCTGATGCAGGTCCTTGGAGCTGTTCCTGAGATCAAAAGCCCATTACCAATTCTCCAAATATGCAGGGGCTACAGAATTCAAGAAGCAGCCTGGGTGAGAGAGAGCCTCCTCATATCTTTTAGGAGCTGAATGTTGACACAACCACAGTTGTTCATCCCAGCATTAAATACTACCTGGCCCTCTGCAGAAACATCTCCCTTTCAAGGTTGTCCAGAAGGGCTGTCTGGGAAAAGGAAGAAATGAGACTGGTGCTCTGTGACTTTTACTGGGAGAGTCCAAGAATAAGTGATTAGTCATCTGTTGAATCTAAAGTTTGTCTCTATCGGGGCACCTGGGTGGCTCAGTCGGTTGGGCGTCCGACTTCGCTCAGGTCACAATCTCACGGTCCGTGAGTTCGAGCCCCGCGTCGGGCTCTGTGCTGACAGCTCAGAGCCTGGAGCCTGCTTCAGATTCTGTGTCTCCCTCTCTCTCTGGCCCTCCCCCCGTTCATGCTCTGTCTCTCTCTGTCTCAAAAATAAATAAATGTTTAAAAAAAAATAAATAAAGTTTGTCTCTATATTCACAAACCTCTATGTATCAGTGTTTTATCTTCAAACACTGACAAGAGAAAAATATACATTGGGAGAAATCAGAGAAAACTAGAAAAAAGCAATTAATAGAAATAAAAGCTAAAAGTTAATTAATTATAAAATAAAATAAAAACAGCAGTAAATAAGATAAACATTTTTACAAATACTTGGTCTTTGAAAATACCTATAGATAAATATTTTGTAAGAACTGATTAAGGGGAAAAAAACGGAGAAAGAAAAAACTGACAAGATTAGTAATTAAGAAGACAAACTCATATATAATATTCAGTCATGGAATCAGAAAGCAATACATATTACATGCAGGTATGTCTGTTTAGTATATGATGATCAAAATTTACCAATGTAGAAGGAGAAAACTAGAAAAGACCAATTTCGTAGGAGAGATTGGAAAAGTGGTATAAGATATACCATCACAAAAACCAGGAATGTTGACTCAACCATCACAGATATTCTCTAAGATGCATATCTGAGTTCAAAAGAAAGTAAGGAAAACAGCCAGGTAATAAACCAAATGGAGCTGAGAACCAGAGAAGTAAGCTGGAGCTGAGGCTGAGCAAGTGTTGTCTACCTTGCCAACCTCAGTAAGAAAGGGGTTCCAAACACAATGGCCTGGGCAGGACTGTGGATAAACCAGTGCGATTCCATAAGGTGGAGATCTGGATTGAGACCTCCACCTGAAACTGAGCACTCTAAATGAAAAGGTGAATAGGAGGAAAAAAAAAAAAGCATCTTTCAAGAAAGGGAGGAGCACAAGAAAACACTTGTATTTCAGCATGGTCCCTTGGGTAGGTTTTGTATACTCTTTCTGTACCCAACCTCAAACCTTCCCCCAGAGGTTACTATTATCTTGGACTCTATGTTTATTTTTACATAAAGTTCTGCTTGGTTTTGATTAAAAAAAAAAAAAAAGGTATACTGAAATAATCTGTGTTTGAATTTTTCACCCAATGGTGTGTTTATAAGGAAAAAAATCCGATGTTTACTGATAATCACAAGGAATAACAGACACAAGTAATTTTCAATTAATAACAGAGAAAGAGAGAAACAAAATATCCTAAACCATATACGTAATGTACCTTAAAGTCAATGCTAGGTAAAAACACTGGAATAATAAACTTCAACTTCCCTCTCCTGAATTTCCTAAACAACTCCCAAACCATCCCTTAAGTATTAACCTCTTTAGACAGTTAATGGAGCTCTTAATGTTAACAGCCCTGAAATGAACCTCAGGCATCACCCATTTCCCCAGTTCAGCTCTGCCCAGAAGGGCGGGCCCCTCAGTTTGAAAGCCTGGAGTAGCCAAGAGGGGTGGCTGGGGCAGAGAGGTGGGTCCCCTCCACAGGGTAAGGGGTGAAGTGTATAAAATAGGGCTCTTCATAGCAGGGGGAACCAAAATGGGGCCCTGATGCCAGAGGAAAGCATACCGCCCCCCCTGGGAAAGGAGGCCAACCCCCTGCCCCCACATCCTCCTGTGGGGAGAAATCAATGGTTGGCTGACCACCCATCTTGTTCCGATTATAGAACCAAACTCGGACCAGTTCCTTCTGTAGCCGGAGCTGCCCAGCGATGCGGCTGATTTGCTGGGGTGTGGGCTTCGGGCACTGCAAGAAGAGTTTCTCCAGATAGTTTACGATGCGTCGCTCCCTGCTTTCCTGTCTTCGCTTCCGAGCCTGCTGCAGGATCATCTCTATTTTGCATACACCCATAAAGTTCTTGGTGTCCACTTCCTCCAGCCACATTTTCATCAGCAGTCCCAACTTCCACATGTTGGCGATGCTGAGCTGCTGGGCCCTCAAAGCGGCAGACGGTTGTCTGGCTAAGAACCTTTCCAAAGAGAGCCCCCACGGCCTCTTGCCAGTTCCGACCCCGGGCGTGCAGGGTGCCATCCCGCCCCAGAATTTGTATGGCAGGGGACCCAGGGGCATCTCCCACACCTCAGGGCCTGGGCTGACCCCCTGCTGGATTCCCGGCTGGACCATCAGCATGCTCGGAGCCGCCTGGGCGGTCAACCAGACCGGAGTGTCAACCCGCACCGGCACCGGTCCTCTGGGCCCGCCCCTACCACTGCCTGGCAGTGGGGAGAAGTATGAGGGCCTGGGTCCCGCCATGGGGTAAGACGGCACCGGAGCAGGGAGTCTGGTAGGAACTGATGGTCCTGGAGGCTTCGGAACAGCCGCCAGCCTTGCCCTCGAGCCCCGCCCCCTAGTGGGCAGAGATGGAGGTGCAGGTGAGAGAAACTGAGGCCAGGGGTGTATTTGGGCCGGGGTGAGGAAATCTAGTAGACCTACCAGTAATCCCTTGGGTCTGCAGGATTAAACGAGTGGGTTTCCCACCCTGGTCTATGCTTCTAACTCCCTCCGTGGTATAGGTCTCTCTCTCTCTGGCTTTGTACTTTTAAGAGGTCTGGGATCTCAGTCACTGCCTCCATCCTCTCCCTGAAGGGAACCTAGGCATTTTCTAACAGCTCTTCAGAACTCCAGTATCGAATCCTTTTCCTCCACATTATCTGTGGAGGAATGACCCCTTTTGGCTTCACAAATATTTGTTGAACATCTATATACCAGGTATTGCTGGGACCATTCCTAAATTCATTAACCATCCCCTCACTGCTATCATTGTGGTCACAAGCACTGCCAATAGCCTTCCCTGCCCATCTTCAGTTCCTGTGCTCTAAGAAACCTAAGCATTCCTCCCTAAATTTCTTCTAGTGTCTGTCAGTTAATTGTCAGCTTCTACTCCCAGCCCTCACGCTTTGTGATTGTACTCTCTCACCGGGGCTGAGTTTCTTGACCAATTATTCATGTTTCCCCCCCACCAGCCCCCCCAGAGCCTTTGCTCTGCAGCCTACCTCAGCTTCCTGGTCTGGTTTCCACATACAACAGAGATTTATATGTTTCATCTTTCTCCCCCTCTGGAGACAGGTCTCAGAACAGGCCCGACCTGCTGTTCCCCACTGAAGATGCTCCCTTTAATACCTGCTTCACCAACATCAGGCTCCCCTATCCCTGGCCCCTTTCCCATCAGAGACCCAAGGATCTGAGAATATTTGTCCCTCCATCATGTCCCCATCTCAAGCATCCAGTACTAGGCTTTATGTGAAGAAAGTTAAGGAAGGAGTGGGAGAAGATCTGACCTCAGGTTCAAAGCTTCCAAGGAAGAGCTTTGGGAAGGGAGAAGACAGTCACCTTGGCTGGACGATCCCAGCCTCTTACCCTTTCACTTTCTAACTGAACCATGATGTGGCTTTGCCCTATCAACATCTACTGAAATTGGCCTTCTTGAAGTTATTGCCAACCTTCCAAATGTCAAATCTGATGGCCTTTTAAAAATTCTCATCCTATTAAAATTCTCTGCAGTATCTGACAAGGTTGACTACTCTTCTTGTTCCCTCTTTTTAAATTTCCATGACATGCTGGTAAGAGCCAAATTTGTATTTTAGCCCTGACTCCTAATATCCAATTCTGTATTTCCCACTGCCCCAAATCAAATTCATTATTTGCATTCCTAAAACTGCCTCTCCTCCAGGGGTCCCTGAGTTGGCTGATGGCTTTATCACCCACTCAGTCACCCAAGCTTAGACCCAGAAACTGTTCTTGACCTTTCCCATTTCTTCCTCCCTCCCTCTCTCCCTTCTTTCCCAGCCTCATCTACCACACTCTCCCTGCTTGCATTCCATCTTGCTCAGTGAGAATATCTCACTTTGCACTAAAGATGTTATACTTTTCACAACTATTATACCTTTACTCATGCTGGCCCTTCTGTCTGAAATGGCTTCCCTTTGCTTTTTGGTCTCATTCATTCAGGATTCTGCTCAAATGTCATCTCATTAGAGGCCTTCTCTGACTATCCTATCTAAAATAGTAACCGTTATCACTCTCTGTTCCCCTTATTAAAGCTTTGTTTTGTGGTATTAATAGGCATCACTACCTAATATATAATTATTTGTCATATGCTTATTTTAGGTTTCTCTGCTGCAAAGAGAACAGGGACTTTGTCCAGTTCACTGCAGTGTCTATGGTGCCTACAACTGTGCCTGGCTTATAGAAGGTGCTCAGTAAACATTCCCTGAATAAATGAAGCATGCTCTATTTCCAGCCACCTTTAAGATGCAGTTTAGAAGTGGGGTGCCTGGGTGGCTCAGTTGGTTGAGCGTCCAACTTTGGCTCAAGTCATGATCTCATGCTTGTGGGTTTGAGCCCTGCATCAGGCTCCATGCTGACAGCTCAGAGCCTGGAGCCTGCTTTGCATTCTGTGTCTCCTTCTCTCTCTGCCCCTCCCCTGCCCACGCTGTGTCTCTCTTTGTCTCTCAAAAAATAAAACATTAAAAAAAATTTAAGATGCAGTTTAGAAGTGACCTGATGGTGAAACCTGCTCTCGCGGAGAGTTAGTTCCTGCTTTTGTAGTGCTCCCCTTATTTGATATATGTATGTTTTTATTATAACATTTATCAGTAATTTTTATTTTATGTCTCTCACCCTCCATCTAGAGTGTGAGGTACTTAAGGGCATGTAGGTGTTATAAAAGCCTGGAACATAATAGAACCCTGACTGACACACTGTTTAATAAGTGTTTGCTGAATGAGTGAATGAATTCTCACCTTTACAATTCTGAGAGTAAAGCACATTTAGTTCCAGAGTAACAACAAGAAACTTGACCCTCTCAGGAGCATCTCTATTCTTTCTCTCTTGTACTAGAACAAGGCCCTTAAACACGAGATTGGGGGTAGTAGTACCGTGAGACTAAATTTAACACAACACTACAGGTAACAAGGTCATAGATGTGACCTTGAAGCAATGGTAAAGGGAAAAAGAGTTGGGAAGTCAACTGCCATCTTTGTATGTGATTGCTGTCTGCATCTCAACTGTAGCCTCGGCTAGAATGTATGCTGGTAAAGAGCAAAGTCCTTGTCTGTCTAGTTCAATGCGAGATCCTCACCACCTGAAAGTGTATCTGGCACAGAGGAGGAAGCTAATCAATACCTCTTTAATGTTAAAGAAATGAATCGGTGTAGCATTAATGATGAGAAGACATCCATATTTGCTTTAAGTTAGGTTTCAAGATGACAGTCTACCAAAAATAGTTTACAAGATACAACATTTCACTTAAGAATAATTTTGCTGTTATCTTTCCAGGTATACACGCATGCTATTCCTTTTTCAAAATTACAAAGCAACCAGTGTCTGCTAAACAGAATGGAAAGTGGATCACAAAGAGGAATAAGAGACAGCAATTATGTAAATTAAAACCCACATGTTGAAACCAGCCCATTTGCAGGAGAGAACCACAGAGAAAAGGTTCATTAGTTGTCTAAAAACAATAGCTGGAGAAAAATATTTTTAGTGAACTGGAAAAAAAAAAGGGAATTCAAGTAAATTTGAGGAAAGATTATATTAAACGAGTGAAAACATAGTAGCTAAAAACATTTCCTAAATGAAAAAGTAAAGCTATATTAACTTGATGGGTTTTAAAATTAACTTGGGTGCTTTCAATTAAGGCTTTCTCTGTACTTGGGCAGATTTCATCAGCCAACATGCCTATCTCCCGTTAATGCATGTGGGACGCCACAAATAAAAGCCCATATTCTTAAGAGAAGTCTTGACATCTCCATAAAAGTATATTTAATATGCTAGGGAAATGGAGTGATCAGGGGGAAAAAAAAACAACAAACAGGAGCATATTTGGTTGGAAGAGAAAACAGAGATCAGAAGAAGGCAGGTGATGGGTATGCCCAAGACAACCAGCAATGCTTGGGCTGGGGCGCTTGAAAGGCTAATCCATCACCTTCAACAAATACAGAGACCTCTTAGTGAGTGATTAGATTACAATGTACGAAGCGGGGCCAGTCTTATCCATAGGGAATTACAAAGTAAGGATAAGAAACACATGGTCCCAGGCTCCTGTGTATTTATAATCTAAATGGGGAAGAAGAAAAACTGTCAGGAGAACAGGACAGCTACATTTGCTCAAAGAGAAGTTAACCATTTTCTATTATTAGGATCTTGGGAGTTAAGAGAAGTTGGTTTTTAAGCAGAAATGCACAAAGCACCAGGATTTGTATTATTAGGCTCTCCGTAAGTATTCTCTATTCTAAGACAGCAAAACCGGCTGCCAAGATCCACTAATGGTAAGAAGCAGGAAATTGTGGAGGCAAAGTTAATAATAAACATTCTTATAGGGCTTGCTTCAAGTTTCATCCCTTTGGGAAGTTTTGCCCATACACTGGGGACCACAGTGGTCTCCCTTGGCCCCGAACTTACTGCATTTCCACTTAGATAAATTGGCAGCCTTAAAAGTTAGCTGGAGTTTCATGTCTTACCTCCCCACCTAGGAGATATGATATCTCCTATGGACATTATAGACACCATTCTTTTTGTACTTATGGGCCAAAGCATGTGCTAATGCATGAGCTATCCACAGTGTTCTCAGTATGGTATGTGCATAAAGACACCTGGATGTGAAGGAGATCCGGCTTTCACTCACACTATCCTGTTGATCAGTTATCTTATTGGCTAGGAAGGTGATCTTCGCTTCCTCATCTCTACAAATAACACCTCTCCCAAAGCTGCTCATGCTCCAGACGGAGGAGAGGGCTTTGTTCAAGAATATATGAGAAACGTCATTTCTCTAGCAGAGGAACAAAACCAAACCAAAACAAACATTTTGAATGTAATTAAATCAACAGAGTAGACTGGGAGATCTAAGAATGATGAACAAGTCAGGCAGAGAGGGTAAGGCAGATTGGATGGTGCTATTTTCAGAGTTTCCTCCACTCGGCAGGTGTCCTAATAACCTAGCACTGACCATGCATCAGGGTGTAAAGGCACTGTTCACCTGAAGGGCAGGTGTAGGTCCCCAAGAACCACATTAGTCAAGGAGCAGGACAAAAGGCAAAGGTAGGAGACAAGATCCAAGCACTCGGAGGTTTGTTTCTCTCTGGGTCTAGGAAGTAAAGTCAGGCATCCAGGAAAACTGTGGCAACTGAGGATAGTAAGGAAAGATGCCTCGCAACTTCCAGTGAGAGAGTCAACACCACACCTTACAACAATTTAGTTCATTGAAAACTACCTCAAAATACATGGAAATGATTAAACCGTTAAACCTTTGTGTGGATTTTTAAGTAAAAAAAGTGCATTAAGACAAAGTGAGGCATCAAAGATAAATTAAGCAATTAAGACATAAGTGTACCTGCAGGTAAAGTGCACAGAATAATACTGAAGTTGTGAGGCACCTGAGTGGCTTAATCAGTTTTGCGTCTGGCTCAGGTCATGATTTCACCGTTTGTGGGAGCCCCGCATTAGGCTCTGTGCTGACAGCTCAGAGCCTGGAGTCTGCTTTGGATTCTCTCTCTCTCTCTCTCTCTCTCTCTCTCTGCCCCTCCCCTGCTTGTACTCTCTCTCTGTCTCTCAAAAATAAATAAACGTTAAAAAATAAAAATGTTAAAAAAGAAATAAATGTGTAAAATAGATTAATAGCACTGTTCGGCACAGGAGAGAGTAGAAGACAAGAACAGGGCGAAAGGACAGCTACTGATGGCCAAACGCTTTACTCATAAAATATGTAGAGAAAAACTAGAATGTAGTAGGACTACCGACATAGAATCTCTTCATTATCTTACTTTCAGATTCAGATTATGAAGGGCTTTTTTTGTTGTTGTTGTTACTTCTTTTTGTTATTAAAAAAAAAATGACTCTGCTGTGACATAATTGCTGCTTAGAAGTAAAAGTTCATGACACAGATGTAAAACAACCACATAGCCAGAGGCTACAAAGTGGTTTTGCGTATATGGGGAAAAATCCTTCCATTATATTTTGTAGAGCTGCAGTGTTCATGAACTATGAACTTCCTGTGCTATAAAATAATATTAAATATAAAAACTCTACAGCCTTCACCAGAAGCCTCAAAGAATTTTAAATGTCTATCTATATAAGGCAGGAAGAGCAACTGAGCTGAGCAGGGCTGAGTTGAAAGGCACTCTGGTGATGAGTCAGGTATATTCACAGATAGTCACAGATAGATAAAGTGTAAAGGTTCTTGTTATGTCAAGTGGGATTTAAACAAACTTTTTAGCTGAGTTTGCCCTTGTTACACAAGAAAAGCTTTAAGGATGTTCTTGCATTGATTAGTCTAGTCACTGTTCTTCTGCATTCAAATTTGTACTCTCCTTACACTGTAGAGCAAGAGACACACAACTTGTTTAATGAAAAATATTCCATTATATTAAGTAGTAAAATACACCTAACAGAAATGACAACTTATGACCAACGAAACCAGTAATTCAGGAGGTGACATGGCCTCAGAGAAGTAAATGAGAAGTAGAGGAGAATTTCTGTTTATAGGAGATAATTCTTTTAGGCACTTTTAGGTATTTTTTTTTTCTTTGTTAAAGAAATTCCAAATTAATTGATCTTGGTGCCATTACCATCGCAATATTTGGAGTCTCTGAATTTCCCTGGAATCTCCTTAGGAAACTATGAACTAAAGCAGACCTAACAGAGACACTTATATCTTTTCTGGAAAAATGAACACTTATGTTCAGTAACATGAAATGTAATAACAACCACGGAAAAGAGGTAGTACCAGACTTAAAATTTTAAGTTCCAACACAGTAACTCTATCTAAATATATAAATTAAAAACTCCTTTTAGCATTTTAAACCCGACAAAGTCCCTGGTTTCAGACAGTGAGGTAGTAAGTCAAGTTATTACCTGAATCCTCCTCAAAGTCATCTCACTATGATTCCAAAGGTCTTAAAGAGAACCAACCAGGCTATCAACGTCTCTTCTGAGCAGAACACTCATGCCCAAACCCACATTTATTTCTCTAGAGTTCACTGCAGCTCTCAGTAGCCTGTTCTCCATTCTAGGTGTGTGCACATAACATCAGGCAGATGAAGGTTTCATCTTCTGAAAGCCTCAGAACTCTAGGAAGCAATTATGTCAAAGCAGCTATGTGTGAATGGAGAACTGAAAGCAAGATTTCAATTATCATTATGTATTTAATGAAAATTTAACGGTTTTTTGGAATGTCCAACTCTACATTCACATGGCTCCAGAAGTATAAAAAGGTATAGTGAAAATGCACAGCATTTATTTTTAATTTTTATTTTGTTGCCAATCATGGCATCATTTCCAAGTGTTAACTTGGTTAACTTCCAGCTAGAATTTTACATTTTGCTTACACAGAATTTCTTGTAATAATTTAAA